CCCTCTGTTGCTGGTCATCCTTTAGTAGGGGCAAAATCTTTGCCCTCTGCCTCAATAAGATGACCTTGAAAACTCCGAGGCAACCAGCAGACGCCTGCTTTTCATAGAAATGTACAAATGAAAAGGACACAACATGATGCTTCTTGCCTTTAAAGATCATGTTAAACATAAAAGAATAGCATCACACTAGTGAGTTCAGGCTGTCAAGAGTGTACATTGCTCTCTGAAGAGTTTAATTTTGAAAGTGGCAGTGTAAAGCTTCATCTCACAATCATCAGGAATTTTCCATTGGTGGCCACCAGACGCAGAGCAGTAATAGAATAGAAAAGCTGACTTTCAGCAGTGGTCCGCTATAAATCAAAGCCACAAAATAAGACAGCCTGCAAAGTATTATCAGCGGGCAACACAGAAGCAACAACGTGCTCTGAAATATTACATGAAATGCTGTTTGCAGGAATTAATTCAGACTATGACTTCTGTGAACAGTGAAGGTCACAACATACGTCAAAAACATATATAATTCCCCCAACTCTGCAGTTTAAAACTTGCAGTCAGATACACAAGTACGCTCTGCCCTGGATCAACGGCAATGACCATCTACACCCAGAGTGGAGCTGCCTGATAGTAAAGGCGTTGGGAAGTTAGCACTGAGTTGTAGGGGCCGATTACAGGAAAGGCTGAACAAGTCTATGATTAGTAAAAAGAAGCAGGAATTAAACAGAGTAGTAACCTCAGCTAAACACAAGAGAGAAGCTGCCCTGTCTGCACAAATATTTGCCTCTAGTCTTTAGCAAATAAGGCCAACGTCAATATTAATGTGATCAGTCATTCAATATTTTTCAATGTTAGCCCTTAAATAAGTTTGCCACAGTGTAGTCTTGCAGCTGGACGGTTACCTTTACTGTGTTGAACAGGAGGAAAGGGTCAATGTTTTTCACAGAGAGCAGGCAGGCAATATGGCAGCAACAAAGACTAAGACTCTTGAAATTGCTGACAACTATAGAGCAGCAGTCGATGCCACTGATAGCCAAATCCTCATATGGAATCTACACCCAAATTCAGTTATGAGAAAGTTGGATTGCAGGTTTCACTTCCTTCAATCTTGTGCTTCTCATGCCAAGCTTCCCTCTTTGTTTTCTTGATCAACCACATCTAGGCTGAATGTCTGGCAGCAGTCATATTTCTCTCAGGTGGAGTGGTAAGCAGAACACACAACAAAAAGACCAATTACATCATATAGTCAGTAGAGACAGGCCTATGCTAATTAAGGAGGGTGGGTCACATTATTTTAAAATTTAAATCCAGTTTTCAGCCCTTATGCTAATCCATTAAGGCTTGGAGTTCTCCAATTTTTCTTCACACTTTCTTCTACAACAGAAGGCTCTGTCATATAACATCTCCCTTTTTCTGCCTCTTCTCTACTATTTCCCTCCCCAGATACATATTGTAGCCTTGACAGGAGAAACCAACACAGGATTAAAACTTAATTTATACACCTATACTTGTTATATCCAGTAGGCATGAAATATGACTTCAAATTATATGAAATGCATAGAAAAACTAAACTAAAATGAATAAATTAAACAATTTCATTCAGTATCTCAAGTGTAAAAGAACAGGAGTTCAAAACTTGAATGCCAATACCTAAGTCTTACTGCTGAACATAATACATGAAAAAGTAATTTATCAACCTGTTATGAAATTCTGTGGTAACCTGCTTCCAAGCTCAGTGTATTTTCTTGAAGGAGCTGTAAAACACAAGGTATTTTTCATAATCTGGATTGGTTTATTCTTATGCATTCAGATGGGATATTCAATTAACATATTCAGTCTAAAGGACTATTTTGCCCATGATAAACTTCTTGTGTCCTAATAGACAATATTCAATACTGTAAAACATTTTGGACAAGGTCAGATTTTTAGCCAACTCACCTCCTAGTAAAATTATATAAAAATCACGAAATCTGAATCTATCTTTTCATAAAGTTCTGCAGACAATTTTAGTAATACGCTTTCCTTCTACTGTGTCTCACTGATTTAACTGCAGAGGAAATTGAATTCTAACATGTAGATTTTATTAGGAATACAGTACTAGCATTTTTAACCAGGGGTATTCTCATCCCTCCTCACGACTTAGGCAGATGCATCCAATTAATGATGAATCATTCTACATACATTTCCTGTTTAGAACATACTGGCAATACCAGCATAACAACCTACAGAGCTCAAAACGGGGAAGAGAAACTCACTTGGTCACACACCATCACCATTTTTGTTTATAGACCTCCAAAAGGTGGCTTTTAAGTCAGGCGGTGTGGGTGCCCCAAGAAAGCAATTGTTCACTTTCAGCTTCGTAGATGAACTATCATTATACTATTTCACAGAAACGGATAGAGATGCATATACTACACATTGTATACAATGTACAACTAGAGATCACTACTAGAATTAAGGAAAATTTGATTTATTGTGATCCTAAGCACTACTTAGCATATTTGCAATAAAATCATGTGTGAAGGAAATTGAGGCCAAGCACCAGGGCATTTAAGAACAGTTGTTCTTGTGTACCATTTTACTCACTGAAAGTTGGGCCACAATTCCACAGAAGGTGCTGAAAAAGATAAGAATGAACTACACAAACAACGTGGTTCTGTTTATCCATGCTGTATCTTCAGAGTAACTGAAGGGAAGTGCCTCCAGTGTCAATGTAAAATGAAGTCAGAAGAATATCTGCATGTATCCTTAACTGAAAATTTTGGTCAAGCTCCACTTTCTGAAGTGGAGAGTCTATTCTCATTCTACCTACTTTGTTGATTAATTTTTGACTTCCCTGAAGTGTTTTTGTTTGGTTTTTTTTCTTTTTTTTCCTCTTTCAGGAATTGACTTATCTTCTGCAGGAGACTATTGCCCACATACTGCTGGATCAAGCTATAATGTCCTAGTTTCTGATCCCTCCTAGGGAGGGCCTCTGGAGCTCCAGACTCTGAAAGTTCATAGACGCTTCAAAGGTGCTGCTTTTATTCTTCAAATGCTCTCCCTCTGGAAGCTCTGTAGTTGAAAAGACTAACACCATGAAGGAAACCGATCACAGGTAACCCTCTCTTTTTTTAATTAATGACTGGTAGAAGGGAACAACTTTTTTGTACATTCAGATATGAACTTTACATTTCAGTGGTCGTATCTGAAGGTTGGGGTTTTTTTTTATTTTATTTTATTTTTTTTAAAAAAACCCACAACAACAAACAAACAGAAAACATTCGGTTTTGGTGGCATAGACATATAGGTTCCCCATAAAAGGTAATACAATCCAATATGCCACTAAATATTTTTTTTAAAAAAACAACTGATGATCTCACAAAGATTTCTGAAAAATAGGTTGGTATATAGTTCCACTTCTCTTATCTTGAAAATTACTGAACTATCCTCTATCCTGTGAGCAGCCTTTTATAAACTTCCATAGCAAGTGGCCATCATTTAAATACCGCACTGAAAATATTTCAGTTCCCTTTAATTTGCATCACTTTTCATATATTTTGACTTCAGCTTTCAGAGTTAGAATGCAGTGATAGGAATCTTATACGAGTTTCTAAATGTATGCAAGATTACAGCACTATTTGATTTGTGAGAAAGGAAAAAAATCTATGAGCAAAGACTACTTTTTTCACTATCACTTTCTTTGTAGTCTTAGGGGGTAATTTTCTGTACAAGCTCATTGTTCTCGATCAGGCACTGTAAAGTGTACACTTAAATGAAACGCTCTCCAGTGCAGGGGGCAAGCTGTTTTTCCCCCAGTCTGGCTCACTAATGGTTAAGATTTCAAGGCTTTTAACCTTGAACAGAGAAATTGCTTTGAAATTTATTGTAAGCTTGTTCTCATTGACCATTTTGATTGCTGAGGTTTTAAAGGACACAACCAGAAACATTTAGACCACATAACAAATCAAACCAACACAATAAAGGTAACTAGGTCTTTCAGAAGTTTATAAGGACTCCAGGAGATGAGCAGTTGATTTCTTCAAGCTGAGCAGAGAGAAGCATGAAATGAACTTCAGCTTACAACAAACTAGACATGTAAGAAAGAACATGTCCTATTTTAATATTACTCAACACTGGGATGGACAAGGCATTTTAACAGCAAAGAGGAAGATCCTGCAGTAGAGGAAAGCCTCAAATCTAAAGTGATCTGGAGGCACTAATTATTTTAAGTGAGGTCTACACATGCTACAATGTAGTTTCTATTTTAAAGCACTATAAACAGTCTATTGTAACTGAGTTGAACAAAATTCCATTGATTCTTTAGAAAATAAACTTAAGAAAACTCTTAGAAAAAACAAGTAGAAAGCTTGCTACTAGCTCTAGTGATAAACTTATTAGTTTTCACTCTATGCAAAGGAAATGGAACAATATTAAGGTGAATGAATTTAGGTGTAGATCAAAAAATGAAGGATTATGCTGCCAGGGAGTGAAGGATTATCATCACTTACCTCCCTCATCCAGAAGCTTCCCACTCAGGGGCTGGGATGTATCTGAAGAGTAACATGTAATGGAAATTTGTAGCATTAAATTAACTGCAGCTGATTGGAAGCACCTGATGGAGAAGAGGTGAGAATACCTGCTGTTTTAGAAGTGTGAATAGGATAATCCCCAAATCTGACTTTCTGGTCTTCTGCCCTGACATTAACTATTAAGGTTAAAATTTTTCTGAACACTGGAAAAAATACTATAATAGTCAAGTTACAGTAAGCTACTAGAGAGTAGTTTTCCAGACCAACAAAACCAAAAAAGGCTCAAGTCATGGTTTTTAACTGAAACCATAGCCTCATGACACCAGTAGTCAAATAACCAGGCAATACACTTAGCATCAAAAGGCGATACAAGTTTTCATTGATCAGTACGGTGACATAGCAAAAAAAAACCCAAAACAAACCAAAGCACGCCTATCATCTCCTCAGTAGACTATTTAAATATGTAAGTCAAGGCTACAGAAAACAAAATCTTACCTAGTAAGTGTGTACTCCCTGAGTCCTGAATGCAGGTTCATGGCGGAAAAAGTACCTATGCATCCACGCAATCGTTTATCTCGACCAATCTTCCACGTTACAAACAGTGGGCTGTTTTAGGGAAGAAAAAAAGACATGATCATGGAAGCAATATTGACAGTCCATGTGAAATATCAGCAACAGTGCCCTTCCATTTTGGGCAATGAGGGGCCAAATCTCTAAAATAACTGTATCTGAGCAGGCCGTAGTATTTGGAAATGTCCTCTGCAATTCTTTAGCCTGTTCTAGAAATGTTGCTTATGTGATATAACAGAAAATAAGATTACTAGAATAGTTAATGGACAGAACAAAACTGCTTGGTAACAGATATGATATGCTTGGTGTCCCTCACTCTTACCCATTAGCCTTCTCCTGGGAATGGGAAACACCTCACCTTAGACATCTGTATATACGGAACCCTTTACAGAAGGGAAAAATAACCCATCGCACTAACTACCCCTCCACCTGAACACCAATACTTTAGTCCTTAACACTGCTGGCAAGAAACTACCAGGAATCCTTGGAAGACAAGAAAATTTAGGAACACTCTTCAAATTTAAAGAACTGTCTGAAGAAAGATTATTTTGTCCATGAATCCCAAGTTAGTATTTAAAAATCTCAAAAATGACCAGGAGTGGAGCAAAATCTCTAGTAAATTGAACATGTCCCAATTATATGAATTAACAAGAAAGAGAAAAACCGTATAATTTTCTGGGACCAAAGTTTTCCTTGCAGTTCTAGAACATTGCATCAATACACGAGCAACAGAAAACTACACAAACCTGAATTTCTCAAGGGAGTGCACATGGCTCCTGGGTACCCAGTCCTCTCAACTCTAACAAAGATTTCTAATCCTGAGATGAACAGGGACGTGTAGAGAAAAAAAGCAAATAAGATTTACTCTTTTTCCAGAAAGGAGACAAATCGAAGTGGATTACATAAACAAGAGTGCACTTTCCCTTACTGTTAGGCTTAAAAAAAAAAAAAAAAAAAAAGGCATTTCAGGTTAACAGCTTGACACAGAGTATTCTTGATCACAAATACGTTCACATGCCTGCAGAACAAGCAACCCCATCCCCTCCCAACTGCAGAGCACCTACTCCTTAAATCCTGAAGTAAGTCTAGTGTTAAGTTTTGTGGAAAGCCATAGGCCCTTCAGGCATGAATAAATTCTTGGTATGAAGACTACAGCCACACTGCACTAAAGCTGACTGACGCAAGGTTCATCTCCGACATTTAGAGCACCTGCAACCACCACACACACGTTTAAGGATGTGCAACTGATTTCTCTCCAAAGCTGTTTGATCAGGCACTGCTCCTCAGCATTGTACCCATGTACAAAGCACCTTGCTGAATTTGTGTTGTTCTTCTTTATAGTAAAGACACTGTAGGAAACAGCTATATAGTCCATAGTCACTGCTATGAAGATCAAGAGGCCTAACGTGATTTGTCTGGTGTGGCACAAGATATCCATCATGTGATGGATGAAAGGGATGTGCCTCTGCCTCCACAGCACCAACGCAGCAGCATCCCGTCCTCTCATTACTTTCCCAAAGCCGTTGTTACTGCCTGCTGGTAGAGCAACTTCCTCCTTATTTGACTAAACTGGACAAGTTCCCTTCTTTCAATGATGGTGAATAGAAGAGGAAGCTGAAGTCATACTTTCTTTTGGATTTGGGTTTCCTTTTATTTCTTTTTTGCCATCCCCCACCCCCCCCTTTTTTTTTTTTAATCAAACAACTTAAAAAAAAAAAAAAAACACCAAAAAACCCAAAAACTGAAGAGCATAAAGCCAGAAGGGACTATTGCCTAACATTTAGTGCAATGCAGGTCATACCACTATTCTCCATTCAGATCAACAAGTGGCATTTTACCAGCATTTTCGAAAGGTATCCCAGTTCCCCTAAATGGTATCAACAAAATTACTAGATCGCAATGGCACTGAAGACAGTCTCTTTCCCCTTGCTCAGAAACAAGCTTGAATAAGATTCAAAGTGGACTTTAGGATTATTCTCTTGACCTTTATCTTTGGATTATGAGATTTATTAGCTTAGTAATACACTTAGTGGAGGGCTATAATTCAGGGAAACATATACGCATTTACTTTCCTGTAAAAATGGAATTCCTTTCAGGATGCATTGTTACTGTACTTTAAAAGGACAATAGAAGCAAACGTCCAGATACTATCACTGAATGTCAAATAGATTACTGAAACATTTGCATATGCATTGAAGTTCCTTGTCAATGAGTACCAACAGAAAAAGTAAAGGTTGCATACACATTTTTGTACTAGTGGTAGTAGTACTATAAACATACCAATAGGAATAAATTTAAACCTCTATCCATGGTGTAAATGAACCACCACTTGTAGCTATACATCACAAAATTTGACTAAAGATTTTTTTTTACAACTTCTGTGCTCCCCAGCGCTTGCCTCCTTGTTCCCCAGGAGCCACTAAAGATATCAGCATGTCTACACAGAAGATACAAGCCTACCAAACAGAATTACTTTTCTTAATTACCATCACAGAATCTTGAAAGTGTAATATGGACCAAAGGTTCAGAGCAGTCAGTGACCCAAGAGGATTCTAACCCTTCAGACTGGAGAAATAAGGCTGAAAGGGACCTTCAGGACTCCTCCTGTATTAAGGAATAATTATATGATTCTCCTCATAAATGAGCCACATTCTGCATCTTAAAAATTACGGGGAATAATGGGGACAAAAACCCCAAAATGAAAAATTAGAAGGTTGCCTTTGAGGCAACCTCACTGAAGCCCAGAACCTCTGGAAAAAAAACCTGCTGAAATGTTTTCCCAGTCAGCTTGGACCTAGCTATTCTTGTGCCAACATTGTCCTTTAGTTTAAATAGTTCTCTTCCCTTCCTGGTTATTATTCTCCAAAGTATTTATAGAAAGAATTCATATGCCTCTTCAGACTTCACTTTGCTGAGCTAAATGGGTTGTGTTCACTCAGTTTCTTCTGAAAAGGGATCTTTCCACTCTAACCATCACAGCTCTTTTCTACACCTTTTTCCAGTTTAAATTTACCTTCTTGAACATCAGTGTCCAGAACCATACGCAGAATTACAGAGCAGTGTCTCATGCCCACATTAATGCTTCCACCTCTGAACTAGAAACACTGACTGCTACGTTTTAGGATTAAGCCTCACAGCCCAATATAAAGTCCATGTCTGACATTCAAAACTTTACAGAGCATTTCTAGTCGTAAACTAAACAAAGACAATGGGAAACCCGCTCATAGAACTTAGATGAGCTATGCAGAGCTAGCTAGCATCACTATTTCTAGTCATGTTCTTTCACTTTTTATTGGCATCCTTGGTTTCAGCCGTTTGCCTATTTTCTCCAAATCTGCAATGCTTTTCTTGTGTTTTAAAACCAGTAATAACCCACAAATAAACCTGCCATCTAACATAGCCTAAGATCTTAGATTTGCAGTTATGTGCCAAACTCCACAGATATCAATGTCAAGAACAGCTAACTAAATACATACATTTTCAACTAAAAAAAAAAAAAAAAAAGAAAATCCTTATTTTCATCTATCTGGTTTTCTTAGAATAAAAAGGGACTTTTTTTCAGCAACACAATATTAGACCTAAAATGAAAATTTGCACCTCCAACCACTTGAAAGAAAACAGAACAGAATAACAGAAGAGAAAATCTTCAGTAAAAAAGCAGAAGAGGTGGCAGATGTGATGCTAGGAGTCCCTTTTATCCAATTATGTGCAGCAAAAGTCTGCATCGCATGCTGGACTGAGTCCTCTTTTGCCTAAAGAATTCTGAACCCACATATCCCACAAGAGTGGGACAGCACACTGGGATGGAGTGCACTCATGTTTCTGACTCTGGTTCCCTCTCGATCTAGTATGAAAGCTGTTTTTTTTGTTGTTGTTGTTGTTGTTGCTTGTTTGTTTTTTTTAAAAAAATATTCACCAAACCAGATGCTGCTCTTCCCTGGGAGGGCTCTAGTAATCAGCTTCAAGCAGTTCTCTTACTCAATTTAGGGTGAAGCATCTTATTAAAAACCAAAACAGCTCCAAGCTTGGGAGTGAGCCCTCTTGAACCAAGAGACTTGGAAATTTACTCGTCTGATGACTTATCCAGCTTCTCATCATGGTGCCGGGAACCTCTGACATACCCTGCTGACAGTGTTAACAACAGGAGTGATGCAGAGCACCCCGAATACACAGTAGCTGAAAGCTGGTGGAAGATATTTCAAACCTTACAGAAGCAGAAGGGACCAAATCCAGACCCTCAGAAGCATCTGTAAATAACTTAATCTTCTTTCATAAGGGTCTGTATTTTGTGATTATTTTTTTTTTTTGTTTGTGAGCCAGACGCTGAAAAAATATTTCCACCTAAAACTATTTACAGGTGCCACAGCAAATTCACAAACAACTTGAGGACTATAAACTTTCCATCAAGCCATTGACTAATTTACTATTCATTGAAAAGTCTTACCCAGCTCTAATCTAAATAGCAGGCAACTGTTTCAGTTATTTGCTATAGAGGTTGTCAGGCACTACTCCATGAAAACCAGCTGACCATATATATTGTTTTTCCCTACTTTCAGCTGCAAAACTGAATTAAAGAGACAGTTTCCACACAGTAAAAGTTTAAACTAATACTGCTTCCTCATATATAATTGCTGTCATCAAAAGGGGCATACATACGTAGTCCGTCTCCTTGACAGACTACTGAAATACACGCGTGTATCCAACACCCTAAACACTGACCTTAAAGCCTCGCCAGAAAACGTGTGGCAGAAGCACCGGAGCATGGGTCACCCGATCAGAGTTCTGCCCCGTGTGTCACTTCGGATACTATTACACTTTTTCATTAATGAAGAAACTGGGACAGCCCTGTACTTAACCTGAACATTAATCTGTTACAACTTCTGGAGAATTGGAGCACTTCACAGGAAGGTCAGGAGGTATAAACCTATATCGACATTGAAAGAAAGTATCAAAATAGTGTCTTTTACAACATGCTTAGCCATGTGCTAAGCATATATCTTATGAATGTTTTACAATCAGAACCACCTAAACCAATTACTGACCCGCTTGCTATAATTACTGAAAATAGTACTTTTTTTACTGAAAAATATAGTTACTGAAAATATTTAGACTGAAAGCAAGAGTGTGCAAGCTATTTTAGTAATCAGTCCGCTACCACAGTAAGAGTCAGCACGCCAATAACTTACACTGACATCATGTAGAAAGCACTGTTAAAAATATCCTCTTTTAATATAAAGCAGCACTGGATACAAGCTGCCTTTTATTTGCCAGTACGTTTAATAAAAAAGTGAAGGGATTCTTTAAGTTGGGCTGTGGGGAAGGCAGCAAGAAGTGTGAATAAAAAAAAAAAAAAAAGAGTCTTTTTCTGGTATAAGAGGCAGTGTGAAAAGTTCTCTTCCTTGTTATGGATAGGGAGGAAAAGAAAGGGGAGGAAGGTGGGAAGAATGGGGGAAAGGAAGGGTAACAGAACAAGAATATTTCCCTACTTTTATAAAAGATCAGTGAGAACTTCTTTGGTTTCACTTGAAGCCTTCAAACTAATAAAACCTAAACTTGTAGGACTTTTAAGTCAAAAGGATTAAACCTGATGAACCGAGAGGGAAAATGACGTTTAGACAGACATTTTGATTATAGTTATTTATTTAACCTACCATCTTTTGTACCAGAGAAGGGAAGAAAGTCTCTCCAGCCCCAATGTTACTTGACACACAGGGTTGTAGGATCAGACACTTTGAAAGGTCAGCACACTCATCCCTTTGTAAGGCCGGACTGCTTCCACTTCAGCTCCCAGGATTTCTAAGCTTCAACATGCCCAGAAAGTACTCTAAACAAGCAAAGTTGCAGTGGCAGTGCTTTTCCTTTTGTTTTACACAAGCGAACAAGCTATTGTTCCTAAATTCTAGAAATTTTAACATTTATATGTTTTAACGTACAGCTTACTCTACCTTCTTTGGGATCATGCTTCACCTCCGAATAATGCTAAGCCCTGATGTAATACTGTTTCAAATTAGAAGCATCTGGAGAAACAGAAATTGAAGTTTATCATTAGAACAGCACGCTGCGATCCCACGCAGAAGCAATGCCAGCCTTATTCAGAATCACAGAGAGCAGCCTCCCTGCTAACTGATGCGCTCTAAACTTTGTTATACACCAGGCTGTGGCATTTCCAGATGTTACAATTCAGTGAGCTA